GTGTGTGTGTACAAACTAAGACAAACCCATACATATGTGTATGTTTGTGTGTGTACAGGCATTAACCAGTGTTTTCCAGTATCTATGATTACTTCTGCGATAACTTTTTTTTTTTACCAAAATGCCTGAGAAACAGTAATTGCACATCAAAAAACAAACAAACAAAAAAAGCACTTTCAGCTACAAACAAAAGGGAAAAACTACACAGACGTCAACCGCATGAAGAGATGTCGATATCAAAATACAGAAGAATATAAGAGCCAGTGGGCACAGTGCCCGCGCCGGCCCTCCGGCGAGTACAGTCACTACTTTCAGAGAACAGTCTCAGTCACATCTTACCATGGTGATGAATAACTGTCCTTGCACACGTCCCCTCAGCTTATATATAGCGCGGGCAACTCGAAGAAATTCGGCGCAACAGGAAGGAGAAAAGATACCAGGACTGAATACCTTAATATTTTCTATTTTTAGCACCCGCGAAAGACCCGCGAAAGGTTTCCGGGCCGAGGGAACTCACTCGGCGCACACCGGCTCAGCAACCCGCGGAGAACACACGCTGGCTCCGAAGCAAGACTAGGGCGACGCGCGCCGTTGGGAACGAGGTCTCCGGAGCCGCTAGGGGGCGCTACGGTACAGAAGTCTTGTGCGAGCGTTAGGATTCAAGCATTCATAAGCACACACACACACACGTGCTGTGTGGTGCAGTCTAGCAATCCTATTGACCTGCGTTTTAATCCCGCGCTGCCAGTGGATGGAAAACCTCGGCTATTTCTCGCACACAGGGGGTAGTTTAGAAGTACAATAAATAGACAGCTTCAGTTTGACTCAAAACCCTCCTGCACTAAGGAGCCCTTACTTCCTCCCCCTTTAGTCCATTCAACGGCAAACTGGATTCACAAGAGCCTCTCACAATTAACCCTAAATTATCATTATTGTCATTATTGAATATATATATTCATATACATACACGTATATAAGTGTATATATGTACGGAAGCTAAAAGCCAGGCGCGCTTGTAGTCACCATTTCTGTCTTCCAATCCAGCCTTCCTTCCAAGATCGTTTTGATTAACGCATTGTCTTATCGGATGGCCGCAGCACTCATTTTTCTGACTTTCCCTATCTGCAACACAATGTCTTCCTCGTCTACTTTTGCCATCTTATTCTGCTGTAGCGCCATACAGACCGGGATCCCGCAAGGGTCAAGCTAGCTGGGAAGATAACAAAATTATGGACCTGTGACAATAGAGCGATCTACAACAGCCGTTCGGCAGTGGTGGGTGTAGCCTACAAAACCCTAATTAAGTTCAGAAAAACTGAGCTAAATTAGCTAATTTCGGTAACAAGCAATATCATGGCAAATTATGTTATGACGTGGTATATTAGAAATGGCAAATGATAGCCTTTTAGTGGTGGGATATCCTTGACAAAACCGAAAACTGGAGCATAAAAAGTTAACTTATGGGGTACAATTCAGGATCAAATGGTGCAAAGATGCCAGCACTATCAGTGGCGGGGACTACATCACACACCCAAAAATGATCCCAACCCTAAGCTGAGCCTAAATTAACCCATTACGTAACCGATTGAAATAACACGCAAAAATGCTCTTTACAATGATGTATACGAAAAATGACAAATAGATATTTTTAGTAGTGTGCTGCACGCAGCATTCACTCCAAGACGACTACGCCCATAAATTGAGCCAGATTAGGTCACCAGACATCTTCCACGCTGAATTAATTTTACCAAATGTCGGTTTGCTTCATCTCTTGCCTTGAAAGATAGATTAGTCCATTACGGCTTACTGAAGCTGTGCAAATACATCTGTAATAATGCTGTCTGCAGGACTTAAAATAAGCGGTGCTGTCTGCACTTTTACCAGATACACTTATACTCGTGTTATAGCTAATAAGGACAGGTTAATTATTTTTTAAGCTGTGCCTAACAATCAATTCACAGCATTTTCTAAAGACATGTGCATACTAACGGAGGCGTTTTAAATCGTCAAGTATTCATTCCATGTCTCCCTGATCTGAATCAAAGCATTCATTCCATTGATCATCATCAGAATCACTTATTGCATCTATGTTTTGGACCGCCAGCGCCACCGCTGGCTTTCACTCCTTGGCAATAACCGCTACTACCAACCGAATTAAAACATGAAATTGGCGCGAAATTTGATGCTTGTTGACATTTTTAGCACTTAGAACGCCACAATCATTTATTACCCTACAGCTGATCTTATAAGAAGTAGCAATTTCGTTGACTAAATACACGGTAATCATTCACTTACATGCACGTACGCTTTAATACTGTATCACACATAAACACGCTTACACAAACATATACGCATCATTCTCTTTTGCTATTTTTTGCCATTTATCTTCCTCTCTTTGTCATTTTGATGATTATTAGTCTTACTATTTACATGTTTATTTGAAGGAATCCCATTGTTTAATGTCTTATGTAAAAATGCCAAAATCCATTTTCTGATACACACCAAATCCATGGTTCTTGCATGAGCTGCATCATATCTTACTTCAGAACCTCGAGTAGGTATGCTTATAGTAGTCATGACATGCGAGAGCATAAGATACACAGAGTTCTCAAGCAAATATCCCAAGTATTGTGTTTCCTCTAATTTTGTGCCGCAGTCAACGTTTGCCCAAAATCTGCTGTTTTACACAGGTCAGGGACAAGCACCATATTTCATATTTCTAGAATAGGAGCACATGCACAATAAGTCACTGTAATACTAATTTCCTCTGTTACAATAGGAAATTCGGTAATATCCTAACATTTTCGACTCATGGCTCAGCTGTCAGAAAATTTGACCTATCATGGGAATGTGCTTGTATCTTACAGTAATATTACCTTCATACATTTTTTGAAATTTAAAATAATTCAAAATTATCTGCTCATTTCAGTTGCAATGTACCTGTAGTATTCCAACCTAAAGCAATATAAATGGATCACGTATAAGAAAAGAAAATAGAAAATAATGTGCAAAAATTAGTAAACCAAAACATACACATATGTATGTCTTTATATATATACTTATATATACATGTATATTATATAGGTATATGTATATGTATATATATACATATATATGTATGTGAGTGTGCATATATATATATATATATATATATATATATATATATATATATATATATATATATATATATATATATATATATATAGGACCCAAGTGAGTTGAGGACCCAAGAGTTGGGATACATTCCAAAATATACAGTCAAGTCATCTAGAATATCTCAATTTTAAAAACAATTTCTAAATATTCCTTCAAATACAATACGAATTTTCCTTGTCGTACCTATATAAATTATATATTCGTTGAGTGAAGGTTTAACGAAGCAAAGAAGAAAAGTGTGGGACATCACAAAAGACGTTCATGCTGACGCTTCGCCGTCACTCAAGATCCATATGTATATATATGTATGTATATCTATCTATCTATCTATCTATCTATCTATATATATATATGACATATATTTATTTATATATAATATATCTCTATATATGAATTGATGTATATATATTGTTTATTTATAAATATATACCTGCATATATATATATATATATATATATATATATATATATATATATATATATATATATATATATATATATATATATATATATATATATATATATATATATATATATGTATGTATATGAATATGTATATAGGAATATGTATGTAGAAAATGAGAATGAATATCTTCATAATACAAGAGCTGTATTTGACCGGTTTTGATTATATCTTCGTCAGAAATACATACACCAAATTCAATTCAGTTCAGTCAGATTTGCGAAGACAGGCTTCACCAGGGCCTTTTCTTTAGAGCGGCCCGGCACATACACCAAAGAAAATACAGAGCATATATTCATTACGTACGATCTGATGAATCTCCTGACGACTGTGACCTCGCAATTGCTCGCATAATTGTAGTCGCGACCTTGGATAATTTGAATCTGCCCGATGTGGTGTTTACATTTTTCTCCGTCACGATGTATGCAGCTTCCATGATTTTCCGCTTTTGTTTATTCAATCCTCCATGGATTATTTCTGTTTCCTTCCAGTTTGGTAGATGCCCAGCTTCGTCTACATGAACCACCAAGTCGTTGGAAGTCTTGTGTTGACGGACGTCAGTTCGATGATCATTGTGCTGCCGCAGTGGTTAGCGTGTTGGTCTAGCAATCTTGCAGACCTACGTTCAATCCCACGCACGGCCAATGATTGCACACAGGGGGTGATTTGGAAGCAAAATAAACCAGACAGTATGTAACAGCAAAGAATATCCACTGTAACAAATGGAATTAAAACTAAATATTTAAATCTTTAATCTTTAAGTCTGATCCTGGTGTTGAAACCACGTCCCATTTCACCAATGTATGCCATATCGCATCTGCTGCAGGATATGCGATATAGAGCCCCGTTATGGTTGTTTTAAGACTGGTTTTCTCATATAATGCCATGTATATTTGCTCCGGATATGCTGGCGATTTTCACCGTATTATTAAAATATTTGCTAATCGCCTGGGGAACGTTACAAGGCGGTAATATGGGAAAATTAGAAGAGGGGGCAGGGTCTGATCTTACAAGTAGGTTCTCAGCCTTCTTTCTGATGTTTAGCAGGAAACCTTTAGGATATTTCTATTTTATGAAAAAATAATTACATAAGTAATCTCAATGTCAAGAAATTCACGGCTGCAGATCCTCAGTGCCCTGAGAAAGAAACCAAATACCACCCCAGATTTCGTTTTATTACTGTGGGCGGAGTAGTACTGGATATAAACGTCTTTATTTGTAGGCTTCATGTTTACAGAGAAACGTAAGCCATTGTCACACATATGACGTCCCTATATATATATATATATATATATATAATATTATATAATATATATATAATTATATATATATATATATACACACACACACACACACACACACACACACACACACACACACACACACACACACACACACACACACACACACACACACACACACACACACGCATATGTGTATATATATGTGTATATATGTGTGTAATATATATATATGTATATATGTACATATATACATATGTATATATATGAAAATATATATAATTATTCATATAAATATATATACATATATATACATATATGAACACACACACACACACACACACACACACACACACACACACACACACACACACACACACACACACATATATATATATATATATATATATATATATGTATTAATGTATATACATAATATACACACACACACACACACACACACACACACACACACACACACACACACACACACACACACACACACACAACACACACACACACACATATATATATATATATTATTTATGGATATACAAACATATACAAATCATATATATTGATACATATATTATGTACATATATGTATTTTACATATATATACTACATATATTTATAAGTATATGCATATATGTATATATTATTATTATATATATATATATATATATTACATACTTATTATATATATATATATATATGAATATATATCATAATATATTATACATATATGTAAGTATATGTGTATATATACATATATACACTTACTATATGCATATATATACATAATATACATATATATATATAGATATATACACTTACATATACATATATATATATATATACATATACATATATATGTATATATATAATATATATATATATATTATATATGTATATATATATATGAACATATACTTACATATATACACCTATATATTCACATACATATACATATATATACATATATATGATATAATTATATATATATTATATATATATATCAATCAGAACTCAAATTTGAATTTGGCGCGCAAGGTGGCAAGTTTCTATGCGTCTACTTTACATCATGCTTGTGTTCACGGGTTATCATGGGTGTAGGCCTTGGCACATCTCCAAACATGTCCTGGAACTCGTGCAGGATACCTGTAGCATCTTGAATCTGGCACGGCAATATATGGCATAGATTAGAATTAACCCATTAGAATTTCTTAACTTCACCCCTATCTCTCCAAGCTCATTATTAGGAAACCTCTTCTCCCACATCAACTGCAGTAAAATTGCACACTACCTGTTCCTCTTCTCTGTAGTATTTCTTTAACAAATTGACGTACTAGTGTTTTACTCTTACCTTGCCCAGGAGTAGAAATTACATAGTTCACTTTTCCCACTCTTCTCAATGTTTTGAATGATCCTTTATGCTTGGCTTGCAATGGACATTTCCTAATGGGTAGAAAAAGTAATACTTTTTCTCCCACTTCAAAAGTCCTCTCCTCTACACCACAGCCAAATAGCACTTTCATTTTATCTAGCTATCCAACAAATTACATTAAGCAAATTTCAAAACATGATCCAGATTTCCCCTCAACTTCACTACATATTCAAACAAGGATTCATTCTGACTGACATCAATCCAAGTTTTGCGTAAAAATTTTTGTGAACCACAAATATTTCTTCAAAAAAGTAATTCACTTGGTGAATACCCTAAACTGGATGGCTTGGCACACCGGATTGCATGTCAGAATGGTAATCCCTTATCCCAGTCACTGCATCTCATGACAGCACTTATTCAGCATGCTTTTTAGGGTTTGGTGAAACCTTTCCAAAGCACCATGACTTGTGGATGATAGACACTTGCAAGGTCCTGTATTTGTATGCCCAAAGTAGACATTACCTATTTAAACACGATGCAAACAAAATTAGAGCCTTGGTCTGATTGTACCTTTCTTGGTAACCTAAATTGTGTAAAGAACTTAATTAATGCAGGCAGAATCACCCGTGTTGTAATTGAATGCAGAGGGATAGCCTCTGGATACCTTGTGCAACCGAATTGTTAACATATTTCCTTTCTAGTTTTTGGTAATGGACCTACACAGCAGTCAGTGATAACTTTGGCAAATGGTGCATCTACAACAGGTATTGGTTGCAGGGGTGGAGGCGGTATCTCCTGGTTTGGTTTGCCTAAAATGTGACTTGTTTTACAAACTCTACAATAACTGGCAACATCCTTATGTATGTCAAGCCAGTAAAATGTAATACCTTATCTGGAAGTCTTTTTACACCTAAATGGCCCTCTACATAGTCGTGTGCTTCATGAAAGTTGGGCTGAGCATTTCGGGCAACTGAATTAGGTAGACCCTCCAGCAGTTAGTCAGGATGCAAGGGATGTCGCAACCCGTGTGCCGAACCCACTCATCAGTGAGGATTCTCCTACACTGACTGAGGTTAGGGAGGTGATCTATAATCCGAAGGGTGGGAAAGCTGCAGGCATAAGCGATATTGCAGTGAACTTTTTTTCCTTAATGATTCTAACCATGCACAATCAAGATGAAATATAAGTCCACACGATGAGCGTGTCAGACCATGTTGTTGTTTTTTTCTTGGGGGGGGGCGTTACCAACCTCCGCTGGCCTGACCTGATTAGCAGAGAGCAAACGGAGAACTAACACACGCTCATATTAACATGCGCAGGCAATGCTCCCCCTGAGCCAGAGATCCGAGGACGGAAGACTGCAACGGGGTATTGACTTGACATGTTAATCAGGGGGACCAAGGCACCTTTTTTTTAGCTTTATCTTGTGTGGCAATTGTGTGGAACACCTAGTTATATATTATACAAATAAATGTGTTTTTTTATCATTTATGTCATATTATAAGGGTAAAATTGTTATATATACCTAAAGCCGTGCTTATTAGTGAATATTATATTGTTCTTTTAATCCTTTTATGTATCTTTTCTATCTTAGTAAGTTGTGCCCAGGCTCAGTTTTATGATTCCTTATCTTATTTTATATTATCGTGGCGGAAGTACACAGAAAGCCTAAGCATCATAGAAACAGGGAAATGATAAAGGAAAACGGGTGATCACTTTTTATTTCATTTTGATACTTGGTATTTTATTTCCTTTCTGATTTTTTTTTATTGTTTCTTTTAATTTTTCATTATCTCTAATGCCTTCGGAGGGATCTTACCGCTCGGCCTGCTCCAACACGAAAAGCCCCCTTGACAAAATTACCAGTGCGGCAGTTGACTCCGTCAGGGTCACTCTGCCACGCAAATAATGTTGCATTCACTACAATATCCCTGCTGAAAAGCTAAGGGCTGAGGGTAAACCTATGACTTGTTGAGGGACGTGGCCATCCCTCTCTGGAAGGGGAAAGGGGATCGCTGGGACTTTAACAGCTACCATGGTATCACATTGCTCAGTATGTTAGGCATGGACCTCAAATTAGCCGACGATACTGCAATGCCATTTGAGTCTCTGGAATCTCTGGTGGTGGCTCTTGATGCATACAGCAATGAGGCGAAGCTCCTAAGCTTGGAGGTCTCCTGTACCAAGACCAAGATCCATATATATCTGCATGTATATGTATATGTATTATATATATATATATATATATATATATATATATATATAATTATATTTATATATGTTTATATTTATGTATGTATATATATTTATATATGTCTATATATTTATATATATGTATATGCATATATATGCTGTAAAGTGTGGTGGGGGCCTGTCAAGCTTCTTTCCTGTTAGTTCAGGAGTGAGCCAAGGCTGTGTCCTTGCACCAACTCTTTTCAACACTTGCATGGACTGGATACTGGACCAAGACCAAGATCCAGGACTTTGGGGACATATTAGGAGAACCTGTTCAGTCGGTACGTGCTTGCGGCGAGGACATTGAAGTCACAGAGAGCTTTACATACCTTGGTAGTGTAGTTCATAACTCTGGGCTGTCAGACCATGAAGTCAGCAGGCGGATTGGCCTGGCAGCAGGGGTCATGAACTCTCTCGACAAGAGTATTTGGAGATGCCGGTACCTGTGCAGAAGGACCAAGCTTCGTATCTTCAAGGCCCTGATAGTCCCAGTTTTGCTATACGGTAGTGAAACCTATACACTATCCTGCGCCTTGGAGTCTCGACTTTGATACCTTTTGTAATAGGTCCTTGCGCCGGATCATGGATTACTGCTGGCGGGACTATGTGTCCAACCAACGACTGCACCGTGAGACTGACACAGGACCTATTACCTGCACAATCCGTGATCGCCAACTCAGGCTTTACGGCCACCTGGCTCGCTTCCCTCAGGATGATCCCGCCCACCAGGTTGTCTCTGTTCGAGACAACCCTGGGTGGAGGAGGCCTGTGGGTCGACCTAGGAAGTCGTGGCTTGGGTAGATCGATCAAACCTGTCGTGAGGAGCTTGAGATGGGCCGAGTCCCTGTCTGGCGACTTGCTATGAGGGACCCTCGCAGGTACAAGCAAAGGATGGATGCGGCTATGCGCCCCCGTCGGCGTTAGCTCCGCAATGATGATGATGATATATGTGTATGTGTATATATATATATATATATATATATATATATATATATATATATATATATTTTGTGTGTGTGTATATACATATATATACACATATGTGTATGTTTATATATATATATATATATATATATATACTATATATGTATATAGTACATATATGTATATATATTTATGTATATATTTATGTATATATATATGTATATGTATATATATATATATATATATATATATATATATATATATGTGTGTGTGTGTGTGTGTGTGTACATATGTGTGTGCAGATATGTGTATGTATATATACATACATATATGTGTGTATGTATGCGCGTATATTTATATGTATACATAATACATACATACATACATACATACATATATGTGTATATATACATACACATATATATTTCTTTATGTATTATCATACGTATAATACATGTATATATATATATATATATATATATATATATATATATATATATATATATGCATATATATTTATAAGTATCTATTTATCTATATCGATATTTATATCTCTCTATATAATCGTATTTATATATATGTCTGTGCTCGCGCATATGTAGGCCTATACCATATATATATATATTATTATATATATATATTATATATATTATATTATATTATATTATATATATTATGTATATATATATATATATATATATATATATATTACATATGTATGTATATTCATGTATGTATGTATAACTAATTGTTATAAGAATAAGACCATTTCTATGACAAGGATGTTACTAGTAATCTTGGTAATAGCAATGATAATGGTAACTAGAAAAAAACTTATAAAATAGAGACAGCACTAATGAATACCTATGCCTAAATGAGCAGTAAAGACTTGGATAAATCTGGAGAGAGGTACTTCCCCCCCCCCTCCTAAATTCTTCCTTGTGTGTGTACTTTGACATCGCTTGGGATGGGGGGCTGGAGGTGACAAAGGAGGAGAGGGAGCATATTTAGGCTGGTTCTTCCTACTCCAGTGTCCAGCTGTCCTTGGTTTACGGCTGCTTGTGCTCCGCCCACCCTCGCTTCCTCACCCTCATTCTCAGCTGCATTCGAGGTGTTTATAAGAGTGGTTTCGGTGTTTGACTTCACTCACAACGATGGTCTATAACAGATTTCTATTTCAGAAAATAACTAGTGTTCCTTCCATATGTGGAGATAAATCATTGCTATATGATATTCCATTACTCGGACACTACTTATTTTTGAGTAAATATCATTTATTGAGCTGTATGGAGATAATTATGTAGTCAAAATGTTGGGATTAAAGGTATCATGAGAACTGTTAAGTATATCAAGAAAAACTAAATGTCTGCGTCCTTGTTTTGATACAATGTTAAATAACAATTTCCCAACAGAAGTTTGCAGTTGTTCTTTTGTTCGCCTCAGTGGTGTGCGCCGTCCAGGCTGATGATGATGATTCGCAAGGTGGCAGATAAATCATCGATATCATTATCAATCGTTTTCTGTTTACCTTGGCTTTTATACTGAAATATTGGTATACAAAAGTAACAAAGATTTTTTATACGCTGTTATGAATTATATAACTTTTTCAGTTCCAAGCTATGGGACATACAATGTATTTTCTTTTTCACAGGGGCTCAAGCGAGACTCCTCGCCCAATTTGGCACAACTACTGTGACACATGTTAGTACTGTCACCGTTATGGCTCATTACACTTGCGCCAAATGTAAGTATTTCAATTCAGCTAGTGGTTCTTTTGGAGTTCTGAACTTTTTAAAATCCAGTTCATATCCATGAGGGGCCGCCCTTGAGTGGCTAATCGTTGGAACTGAGCGAACTGCAACTTGGACTGACAAAACTTACGAAGACCAAGTCCCGCCCTGTTCCGCCAGCTGTCGCCTCCACCACTTGCTCCGGCCGGAGGCGACGTCGTAGAGTCAGGCTAGACATCGGTAACAATTACAACCCTGGCGCCTACGAGACACTCGCTGGCAGTGTAGTGAACACCGAGATTGAACAACCCGAAGAAGGCACCGACAGGGGGAAACTCTTCACGGTTTGGAGGACAAGCATTTCGACTCTCATGATCACGTCTACCTCTTACAATAGGGATATCACCGTGTCTGTGTCCCTCTATTGCACCAACGCCTCCATGCTGTACGAAATGTGTTAAACGCAGAAAGAACTTCCCTGGCTTAGGCATCTCCAGCAGCAAGATCATTTATTTTTAGTATTATGTGTATGCATATATAAATTCATTCGATTGTGTGTAAAATGCTGGCACTTAAAATAAATATTCACTATTCAAAAGAGTTTTACCACATTATTTTAGATAGTTAATATTACACATGCATATATGTAACATGTACACACACACACACACACACACACGCTTATATGTGTATCTGTGTGATAAAAATAGATACATAATAATATATATGCATATATTTACTCACACATATATAAATATGTATATATACATTCACATCTATATATGGGTTCGTGTGTCTGTGAGTGTATGTATAGATAGATAACTAGACAAACATGTGTATATATATATATATATATATATATATATATATATATATATATATATATATATGCATATATGTATGTGTGTGTATGCGTGTTGACTTAAAAGACTCAAAGAAATTCAGAAAATATCCACATTTATATATAGATAATTATTATAACTGGTATAATTTTTCCCAATCATACACGTATAACAAATTAATCAAAGGCGACCAGAGGTCTGGAATGGATGGTAAGCCTCGATACAAACATAACAAAATATCATTGAAAGGCACTCTGACACGAGTGCAAGACGCAAAGATAATATATATAAATATATTTATATTCAAATATGTATACATGTGTGTGTATGCTCGCGTACGTGTGTGTATGTATGTGATTGTATGTGTGTGTGTGTGTGTAGTGTAGTGTATATACATGTGAATATATATACACACTAAACGTATACACTATATATGTGTGTGTATATATGTATATGTATATATATATATATATATTATATGTATATACAGTGTATGTGTTTATACGCAAATAAAACTTACAAT